GTCCGCAGGTTACAGTTTCGCCACCCAGACTTGCCTTGGGCGCTAACCCGCATCTCCCCGTCGACCACGTACACCGCGCCCCTTGGGGCCAACTCGGCCGCTTCAAGAAGGATCAGTCGCAGTTCGGGAAACAGTGGAATCGTCCTGCGGTCCTTCCCCGGGTGATGTTCCGTTTTCGGTGATGTGACGACAATGCGGCCACCGTTCCAGTCGACATCCTGCCAGCGAAGCGAAAGAACCTCAGAGGGGCACCGAAGGCCTCCGAATCGGGCCAGAGCAACTATCGTGCGCCATTTGATGTCCGGGCAGGCCTCCAACAGCTTCGCAGTCTCTTCGCGTGTTACGAAACGACTCCGGTCCGGCATTGTGGCCTTGATTTTCACACCCTCAAACGGACTGCTGTGCAATATCCGGTGTTTCACGGCCGCACGAAAAACCATCGTGGCAAACTGCAATCGTTTGCGAACAGTCATCGGGGCCAACTTCTTTGCGAGCAAATGCAGCTTGTAGTTCTCGGCATCGCCCGCAGTGATCTCTCGAATCGGCTTGTCGGGGCCGAAGTATTCGAGCAATCCGTTTTCGCCTTGCCGCCAAACTTCCTTCGTCGCTGGCTTTGCGTCAGTGCGACCGTCGATGTAGTTCGTTATGAAGGGCCCCAAGGCGGATAATCCTCTGGCCTCGCAGAGCCCACGGGCAGCCAATTTATCGTAGAGCACATCATCGATTTTCATTAGCCACTTGGCTAAGTCTCGATCCATTCCCCCGCCAATAATCTTCACGGCTAGAAGCTGCTCAACCCGCACACAAAACTGGAGGGCATCCTTGCGGGGGAATTTCCCTAGGCGAATCGTCTGCCTTTTTCCTTCACCGTCGACAAACTGAATCCATTTGTGGCCCTTCGGGCGATTTATTACGCTTGCCATAGGTTACTCGCCTTTCACTCTGGATTTACTGTCCATCACAACCCGCAGTCCTAAATACTCGAACAGCAAATCTAGATTGTCGAGCGACAGACCACGCCGCCCGTTGTAGAACTTCCCCAAGGTAGATTCATCTATACCGGTATCTTGTGCGATGCGATATCGCGTTAGCCCAGAAGCGTCGATGGCTTGCCTTATCTGATCGGTAAGCTTTTTGGATTTTTCGACCATCACACCACCTTATCAGATACGGGGCATATGGTCCAGTACGCTATGTGCAATGGGAGCTTCCCCTGTCAGGAAAGCAACAAGGCTGGTGAGTGTTTGTTGTTCAATCAGCGCGATGCGTGTGCGGTGCGCTAGGTGCTTATACTGCGATTTCTTAGAGCTCTGACATATGGACCAGGACGCAGCTCCCTTGCCGGATCAACTACCGACGCGTTGCCTGGAAAACTCACCACTAGGATGAGAATCGCATTTCGACACCTAGCTAATCGTTCCTGTTGCACGAGACACCAACCGGAGGACTTTTTAACCCCGGACACTTTTTTAACCTGGTTCCTTTTTGGGCAGGGAAGGAGCCAGCGCAACATAACCTGCCAGCCTCTGCTGGAGCGCTAACCTACTTAGTCATCGGCGGTGAACGCAATTAACGCGCCAGCTCGTCGATCCATCGCTCTAGTTTTTGCATCGAATAGCGAACACTTCGCCCCAGCCGAACGTGCGGTATCTCGCCTGCGTTTGTCATTGCCCATAACTTTCGAGGGCTGATAGCCAATAAACTAGCTGCCTGACGTGGAGTTAGAAGAAACGGTTCCACCGGGCGGGCATCGGCCCTTGTTTCCTCTGAACAATTTCCGAATTTAGCGTGGGCATCAGTCGCCATAGTCAAATGCACTCCTTGCACAGGGAATCTGAGAGAAGAGCGAAAAGCCGAGACCTTCTAATGGCCTCCTAAACAAACATTTCAGACTTCACATACCTCAATTGTATCGATGTCCGTGACACTGCGTGGAAATATTTTGCACTCGAAGGCGAAGCATTACCTATTTATCTGTTCCGAATCCTATGGCCGCATGATTGGGCTTTAGACAGCAGACCGTAGTACCTGAACTTTTTGGGGTAAGCATTGGCCAAATGGGAAAAGGCACGTCCGGCATTTATGCTGCAGAATAAACCTACCAGCTTCACGACCTTTGTGTTCCAAGCTGGAAGAATCTTCCAAAGCCGAACTTGCAGGAGGCGAATAGGCCGATTAAACAGGGGAAAAGGAATTAAGTCCGGAGAGCCTTTATGAGTACACGACACACGACTGGAAGATTCTTCCAGCTCGCCATCCTTCTGGCCTTAGTTTCCGGCTGCGGAGATTCAGAGCAGCAGTCCCGCATCGACAAGGCCCACGTCGAACTGGAACTGGCCCGCAGAGCCGCCAAGTGCGAAGACATGCGGAGCTGCCTGAAGCACGCCGAAGCATCCATCGAATTGCACCCCACAGCCGATGCCTACGCCTGCCGGGCGAACGCGCGCATCTGCAATGCCATCGAGGGCGGTGATTTCACGCTGGCCGATGCCCTGGCAGACACGCAGGCTGGCTTGAAGCTGGACCCGAACCACATCAACTGCCTGGAGACCCAAGAGCGGATCGAGCAGATGATGCAAGAGCACCCCGGGCTATAGGAGCCACCGGCTCCAAGCACTCCATACCTCCGGTTGTCGGGTTCTCTGCACCCTCTGCTTGGAAGATTCTTCCACGGTGGTCAGCTCCAAATCGCTGGAAGAATCTTCCAGTTGCGGATCACTCGCAGGAAGTACAATTTAAGCGTAAGCCTCAGGCAGGTAGTAATTTGAGGCGTATTCACCGCGAAGGAGTGCGGCAGATCATGGCAGGTGGTGGCAGAAAAAGAGCTGATTCGGTGCTGCTGGCCGAGCTGGCTGGCGGGGCAACGGTGAAGGCGGCCGCGGAAGCGGCGGGGGTGTCGGAGCGGACGGCGTTTCGGCGGATGGAAAATGCCGAGTTCGTTCATCAACTCAATATCCTGCGGCATGAGATCACCAACCAAGCGACACGCTGCTTGACTGCTGGAGCAGCCGAGGCGGCGTCCTGGCTTCGTGAGTTGGCTGCGTCTTCCGCTTCAGATAACGTGCGCCTGGCGGCATGCAAGGCACTCTTGGAGCTTGTACTGCGATATCGTGAAGATCTCGACTTCGAAGCCCGCCTTTTGTCCGTCGAGGGGCAATTGGCCTCGGCCCAGTCGAACCTTCAAGAACACCCAAAGGTAGGTCGGTCACAATGAAGGCCATGAAGCGGAATCGCCTTGAAAAGGCAGAATCACAAGCCCAAAAGTTGCCACAGCCCGAAGACATCAGCTCGTGGCACGATTGGCTTCAGGACTGGCCGGTGGAGTGGATCATTCCTAGGGAGTGGGGACGCACGGAGCCGACGGCCCAAGAAATCGAGCAAGTCCTGGCGGAGTGCCGCGCGATTTCAGTAGCACTTGTCGCCGGGGAAATCGAGCCCACAACTGAGGCGATCGTTAAAAGGCTGCCCTTCATGGCGCTTAGTGGTCTCGCGGAGTGCGATCTCTTCGAGGGCTGCGATGATTGAGTTCTCGCTTAATTTGGATTCCTTTTGTCAGTCGGCATCCCTCAGGATTTCCATATCATCCGTTTGGTTTTATTGACCAGCTTTTGGGGTAGATGGGTGGCTGCGGGAACTTACCCAGAGTTTCGTGCCTCCAGGGTGGTCGAGAACCACTTCGCAGGATAGGCAGTAGTGCTTGCTTCCTGGCCCGAGCGTATGCTTGGCCATGCCCCTATGCGGCTTCCAGTGCCACTATGTCGTCCGCCATGATTACCAGTTGAGGTGGAGTTACGTCCGATACTGGAATCAAGTTCCCGATTACTGGCACACCATTGAGCTAGATTGTTGCGTCAAGAGCTCGACTGAGCTTGAAACGTGCCCTTCTTGGAAATACTTTCCAAGTGAGAGTGGCAAAACTTGCCACCCTTGGAGCCGTTGGGCGGCAACGCAGAATGCGGTCGAGTTCAGCGAAGTCGCAGCAGCATCACTGAGCAAAGGCCCGATTACATCGCGAGTTCCATTCCGCATCATCTTGGTTCGGGCGTTCTAAGGCGGCGGCTATTGCCAAGCCGTCCCAACAATCACACTCACTCCCCACTGCACGCGGAAGCAGATCGCACAGGTGAATTGCCAATTGCGCTGAAGCAGCGTGCCCGAAGTGACTTGCTTCCTCATGTTCTGTGATGATTTTGAACCAGTCTTGAGCAGAGTCGCTACCCAACGAATAAATGCAATGAATCCAGTCGAGCATCCTCTGAACGGTTTGGTCGTTACCAAGTAACACCCTGACGGCATCTCGGGTGTGCCAATACCTGTTGAGATGACGAGCTTCGGAGTAAAAGTGCAACTCGCCGATGATAGAGGTCCATTCTTCGGAGCTAAGTTGATCAACTATATCCTTGTTCCTAACAACCCACTTATCCTCAGGCTGATTGTCCAGCAAGAACTGTACCGTCTGAAAGGCGCTAAAGGAGAATCCTAGAAAATGGTTGCGAAATTCCTGGCCGTTGTCTTCTGGAAATTCGGTGTGTCCGAAGTCTTGAGCATAGGCTCCGGTTCGGCCAGCTATACCATCAAAGGCCTCAAGAAAGACTTTTTTCAGCTCATCACAAACCATGAGGCGACTTCCAATCATACCGAGACGAATGCAGATCACACTTTCAATTGATTTTCGAAGTGCTGAGGATGGACTCTTGAGCTACGAGAAAGAAGTGGGTAGTTCACTTGCCACAGCTTTGGAATGTGAGGTTCGCCAACATAACTACACGAACGAGCGGTCGGTGCACCGATTATGCCTGAACCACGAGTCGAATACAAAATCTTCGCATCGTGCCCAGAATCAAACCTCGATCCCCTGAGGATGGACTCCCATGCGATGCGTAGCCACACAGGACAAATCCGTCCGCAGTCGCTTCTCCAAGTAATGGTGATGCTGCGATCTGAGTCGATTACTCATTGGAATCCAGGTGTCCTCGACTCGACAAATGCAAGGAATACTATCAGGATACACTGGGCTCCTCAGGAACAAGGAAGTTATGACACCACTGATTCCCGGCGGGTGGCATCTCAGGCAGCTTCACACCGGGGTCCCAACAATTCCAACCACGGGGCATTCGCAACTCGACTCCATGCTTGATTTGAAGATCAAGCATCGGTCCAGAGGTTCCATAGCTGCCACGCGTTCTGGCAACTGCACGAAGTGGCCGGCCTCTCTTGAGCGTGTTATGTTCCATGCTTTTTCGGTGGTGGCAATGGGTCCAACTTAGACTTTCCTCTTTGGCCCAATGCTCCAAATCCTCAAGTGCGCCTGCTGCACCTTGGTCTTTGACATGATCACGCCACTCACGCCAGTCACGACCCTCGTAAATCGTGTCCCAACCACAAAGTGAAAAGGTTCGGCAGAACAGAGGAAAAACCTTATCTCCGGCGGCAAGACAGCGTCTAAAGTCCAGGTGTATTGGCCCCCCTTGATCCGAGAGGCCCCAAGGGCCAAGCACATCGTTTAGAGCTTTATCGCCACTGCTCGGTTGAGGCAACCAATTTCCGGCCGTGAAAGTTGCGGTCAGTATTGGGACTTTACCGAATTCATACCGCCTGATTAGTCCGAGAACGGAAGCTTTCTTGAGACTCATACGCCTAAGTGCGCCTGACCAATAGTCCTTGGACGCTTGAAAGCAGATCTCCGCATCCGAACCACAGGCCTTCAATTGTTGAATGAAGGCGATCTTGCGCGCTATCTGAACAACTAAGTGGCTAGAATTCCACTTGTCGTCGGCCTTGCTAATATGGTTGTTCCACTCCTTGCACAATGGCTGCCGCTTTGCCTCGATCAGCAGCACTGCTTTGTTGCCGCATTCGCCCCGAAATACGACCACACCGTCTACACTGCCAAACTGACTCAGTCCGGGTTCGAGGATCGTCGTAACCTCGTTGGCTCCTGTTACAGCCCTGCAAAATGAGTCATCGTGAGAGGAGTTTGCCACCATACCCTTGAACGTTTCCAACGCACCAGACGATTCGCATATATCGTGGAATAGTGCTCCAACAAACCCCCTTTCGGAATATCCGAGCCATTCATTAGTCATAGTGGCCCCGTTGAAACGCTCTCGACAGGATTCGTACCGCCAGTGCATTTGACGGCAGACAATCGGTCCAGCGAAGATAACTTTGAGAGCAAGCCCTCCTTGGTAGCTCGCTCTACCATATCGGCCGAATGTCTAGCTCCGAAGCCTCAATGGGCACATCAAGCCCGGCAGACGCCAGCAGGCCTTCGACTGAATCTCGGAACTCTTGATCATGACCCGGAGCGATATAGACACGCTCTATAAGGTCATGAAGGTCACAAGCCACATTTATCCCTTCTTCTTCAAAATCGTCAAAGTTCTCCATGGTTGCTACAGCGCGGAGTTCCTGCTCGTACCTAAAGCTCATTCGCTTCGATATAAGTAGGTAATATAGGTTATCGAGTGGGATCGTTGCATTTTCGAAATCGTAGTAATCAACCATCCCGAGGTAGATTCTGGTCGTTGAAGAACCGAACGATTGCCGCAGCCTCTCTACTGTTGATTCTATGGCCACTCCAGGATTTCCTTTGAGGTAGACTGTCCACATAGCAGATGATTCATGTTCATTCATATGCCAGCAATTGATTGCTGCCCTTCTCCCTAGATCACGAAAGAATCCCCTGCTATTGTCAACCGCAAGTCGGGCAAGTTCACGAAGCTCCGGAGGTTGAGCGTTAACTGCCTGCTCCCAATTATCATCCAATGCTTGGGCCATCCGGTTTGGAAAACGCCCTTCGAACTGATCTTCGAATGCATTAGCTCTGCGAAAGTAAAGGCTCTTATCACTTAGCATCTTCCAAAATTTACAGATGTCCATATATCGCCAGATCTTTGCATCAGGATCCTCTGGCTGTGTGAAGGCCCCATGAGCTTCATACATGTCAACGCCCCTAAATGAGAAATGCGATGAATGAAATAGGTTCGATGAAGCAGGTCCGTCACCGCTGCGTCTCTTGCAGAAGTGACCATCTGACCTGGTTCGCTGCAAAATCTTTCGAGGCCTACCAGACTATAGGTCTTCAATAGCCGCACCTGGAATGACTGAATATTGACCCTGTCTTGATACAACCTCACATACTTTGCGTCGCATGTCTTTTGATACGACGATCTTGTCACCATCTTCTAGACGCTTTTTCAATTCATCCGATAGGTTCGTTGCTCCACGAATCGATATACCCATTTGGCGAGCCTCCTTCAGGCTTAAAGGAATTGTCTCGGGATCACCTGTCCAATCTTCTGGCACCAGATATTCATCTTGCAAATCGGTACGTGCAGGCTGCGTGCCTTCAGCAAGATAGTATCTTCGCAGCGTCCTCCTTCCATCCTGATACGCATGCAAAATCCAATAGGTGCTAGTGGCATCGCATCGGTAAATCGAGTGTCCGTCCTCCTTTCCTTTCCAAGATAGTTTAGTATTCGGAGCTGCCGGGGAGTCTAATTTGTAGTGCGGCATACTTTGATCCTCTCCTGCCTCAGAAAACCAGAAGGTATTGGATTGATATGAGCGTTAACGCTGACTTGCTTCAATGACATGGTGTAAGTAGAGGTCGTGCCCCAGTGATTCATCGATCTGCACCTGCTCGCCAGTCAAATGCCGCACTTGTCACTTAGTCACGGTGCCCATGATGTCACTCCACCCGAAACACCTTCATCACTTCGTCCCCCAGGTGATTGATCACCTTCACGGCGATCCTGCCGCTCTTGGGCTTGTTGAATGGTCTTGAGGTGTCGCTGTTCAGGGTTTCCCAGGCTTCCTGGTTGATTTCGGCTTTGAGGGTGGTCTTGAGGGACTTGTAGGGGTCGTTGGCGCCTAGGAAGTACGCGTGGCGGACGAAGAAGCTTTCTTCGTTGTAGTCGGTGTCGATGAACCAGCAGGCGATGCCGTCGGCTCCGTGGCTGTGGACCTCGCCGGTGTTGGGGTGGAAGACGTCGACACCGTTGATCTTGACCTGCACCTGGTCGTTGTCGCTCCCTTTACCGTCAACCGGCAGGATCTCGATGTCGGGCTCGCCGAAGATGACGAACAGGTTGGCCTTGTCGGTTTGTTTCAGGTCGGCGCCCATGTGCAGGTCGGCGTTCATGCGGGCCTTGAGGATTGGGATGCGGCCCAGGCTGGCGAACTCCGAGCTTTGAGCGTCGTAGTTGAACCCGCAGGCGATCAGCACGTCGAAGCCGGCATCTCCGCACTCGCGGGCCGCGCGAACCAGGTCTTCGCGGGCCACGGTGCCGAACTCGGGGCCGATGAAAATGCCGGCTCGTTTCTCGGGGGCGTTCTCGTCGTCGCCTTCAGTGTAGCGTCCTTCGGCCGAGACGTAGTGGCCGGGCCAGGGCGACAGCGAGGTGAACGTGATCTTGTCTTCCTTGTGGGCCTGCTGCACCCCGGCGGTCTTCAGGTTCTCCAGCACCATCTGCATGAAATCATCTTCGCCGGTGGTCTGTTTGCTTGCAGCAAGCATGGGGTCGATCAGCTCGTCGTCCTCGTCCATGGCCAGCACGCGATGCGGCGAGACGCTCTCGACGGTGAAGGGCCCCGCCACGCGAACCTTGCTCTTGTCCTCGTACGGCTTGTCGTACAGATACTCGTAGTCGGCCTTGGCCGCGATCGAGGCGTCGATCTCCTTCTGACGGGCGATGCGATACTCCCACCACCGCTTGTGTAACTTGCGGGCCTCGGCCGACCAATCCTCGCCTGCCTCTCGAGGGATCTCCCACTCTTCCCACTTCTGACCCGCGGCTTTGTTCAGGTCGGTGCGGATCGGTTCAAGCTTCTCTTGGTACTTTTCCCAGATGACGTCGATCTCGCTGTTGTTGGCGATGGAGCCAAGCATTATATGTGGCACACGCTCGTACACGAAGCCGTGACGAATGTTGCCACTTACAGGTGCGGTGCTTGGTTCCGAGCGGGAAAGTTCGGCTTCTTGCTTCTGACCTCCCTTGCTGTCAGTCAGCAGGAAATAGGGGTAACGCGCACCCATGATTCGGGCGCGAGCCAAAGTGAGGGCTACGCGCGAAGTGTCGATTGTGATCCAGCGGCGTCCCCATTGTTCGGCGACGTACGCAGTTGTGCCGGATCCACAAGTTGGATCAATAATCAGGTCGCCAGGGTCAGTTGCCATTAGCATGCAACGAGCAATGAGTCGCGGCGCTGTCTCAACCACATATCGCTTGTCTGTTGCACCCCCGAGATCATCCCAAATGTTATGAATTGAGTAGGCGGCGAAATCATCAATACGCCGAAGGTATCGAATCGAAGACTTTAATGGCATTACACGTCCAGCGAACTTCAGCCGCTCCATGCCCAATTCGCTTGTTTTCCAACGCGTCTGCATCGTTGGGCGATAAGTCCTACCTGCAACTTCTACAGGGAACCATGAAGCTGCTCCCTCGCCTTTTTCACGTCCCATGCTCGCAGACTGTAGATCGGAGGATGTATAGAAGACCTCACCTTCCTTCAGTGGAACAGACCCAGCTTTCTCCTGAGGAGACGCTCTGCGTCGCGTGCCGTCAGGACACAGAACGCTGGAATAGTGACTGGCCCCACTCTCGCCAACCAGCTTCAAATTGTAAAGCTGCCGGTATTTGGTAACTTCCCTGTTTTTACCGAACCAGAGAACGTAGTCGGCAACGCCCGACAAGTAGTCGTTGGTCGAGGATGTTGTTTTCGATACGGATATTAGGGATAAGAAGTTTTCGTCGCCAAATATCTCTTCCATCAAGGCTCGAATCCGATGCACATTCTCGTCACCGATTTGAACGAAGATCGACCCTGAATCACTCAGCAGGTCCCTTGCCACAGTCAGCCGGTCCCGCAGATAAGTCAAATAAGAATGAATCCCATCCCGCCAAGTATCCCGAAACGCCTTCACCTGTTCCGGCTCGCGGGTGATGTGGTCGGCCTTGCCGTCTTTCACGTCGCGGCTGGTGGTGGACCACTGGAAGTTGGAGTTGAACTTGATGCCGTAGGGTGGGTCGATGTAGATGCACTGCACCTGGCCGCGGAGACCCTCGCGTTCGGCCAGTGAGGCCATCACCTGCAGGCTGTCGCCCAGGATCATGCGGTTGGTCCAGTTGGCATCGTGCTCGTAGAACTCGGTGCTGCGGGCCTCGGCGGGCAGCCCGTTGAAGTCGGCGAACAGGTCGAGCTGATGCAGGGGCTTCGACGATTCCTCGGCGTCTTTGGTGCGACGCAGCAGATCGTCGATGAGCACCTTGGGGTGAACCTTCTCCTGGATGTAGAGCGGCGGGGCGTTGACCACCAGGTCGGACCAGTCCTGCTCGTCCTTCCCCCGCCACACAAGCTGCGGGTCCAAGTCGCGGTTCCGCCGTTCGTAAGCCACCCGAATCGGGCTCTTATCCTCATCCCCCATCACCGACTGCATCTCAGCCGTCGGCAGGTTCCGCCGCGAGGCATCCTCGTGGGTGAGGGTTTCGACGGACTTTAGTTTGCTGGTCTTACGTTTTGCCCTGGCCATCATGGCTCCTCTAGTTGACCGCCTGCTGGGTCACCGAATCGATCATGTCGTTGAATTTGCTTTCGACCTTAGCTTCGAAGTCTGTCTCCATCTCGAATACGTCGGCGAGTTCGACGAACGCCCAGCGGCCGAAGGACTCCAGGCGGTTGACGCCGGGAATCCAATAAGAGTCCATCGTGTTGTGCTTATCTTTGACATCCTCGCCGCGGTAGCCCTTCACCTCGACGACCAGGTGGAGCAGATCGTCTTCGCCATGACCATCGTCGACCAGCACGATAAAGTCGGGGCGATAGTGCCGCGATTCGGAACCGTGCTTATAAGGCACCTCGAAGCCCAGGCTGTGGTTCTTCACATAGGCTTTGACTTGCGGGTGCGACTCGGCCACGCGACAGAACTCGGCTTCCCAATCGCTATCGAGCACCACCCAATTGACGTGGCACTTACGGGAGTCGGTTTCCCAGCGATGCTCTTTCGACGTGTTGAAGTTGACGAAGTTCGTTGAGCCGACTGGGTTGTAGGGATCGAGCACGGCCTTAATCGGGCAATCGTCGCTGAGTTTCTGGGTGATGGCCGCCGTGATTCGCTCGCAGGCCATGTCGGCCAGCTCCTGGTATCGAAGCTGGGCCGGATAGGTTCCGCCCTTACATTCGAGGCACTCGTCCAACCATCGCTCGGTAATGCGTTTGAGCTGACCAAACAGCGACAGCTTGGGATCATCTCCAGGGTCGCGCCATTTGGTGAACAGGAGATGCTTAGTCAGGTGATAGACAAGCGTCTTGCGCCGCATGTCTTTGGTGTGTTCGAGGCTGAGGTCAACGTCCTGCCCGATGATGCCAGCGTTCTTCGTTTCAGAAGGACCGGTGAGTTCGGGTGTAAGGACCAGAGTGGAGTTCTCGGTGAACTCGGCATCGAGCCGTTCGGTGGGTAGCTCGACCCGATAGCCCTCGACGCGAGGGAAACGAATCTCCAGATGGTCGCGGTCGGGCCGAACGGCTTTGACCTGGACCGTCTCCCGTGGCTTTTGCGGTGGGGCGACAACCGGTTTGGCGGTGAAGTCGAAGGGAATGCCGAGCACGTCGGCGTATTCAGTGTTGAAGAAACCTTCCTCGTTCAAGTCGTAGGATTGGCGGCGCAAGGCTCGACCGATGACTTGTTCGCAAAGAAGCTGGGTGCCAAAGGCCCGAACGCCGAGCACGTGGGTGACGTTGTTTGCATCCCAACCCTCGGTGAGCATCGACACAGAGACGACGCAGCGGATCGACTCCCCAAGCCGGCCCTGTTTGCCGACGGTGTTCATTACTTCGCGGAGCAAGTCTTGTTCGCTGATGTTGTCAGCTTGCTCGCGATTGCCAGTGCGTTCGATGATCTCTTTTCTAAACCGCTCAATCTCATCGGAGGCCATTTCGCGGAATTTCTTGTCGAGTGCTTCTCCGGATTCTAGCTGCTGGCTGTCGATGAGCAGTGTGTTCGGGCGGGCGAGTTGCTTGCCGTCCTCGTCGAAATTACGAAAAAGCGGCAACCGGCCGTTCTCCAATGTAGTAGTTCCATCGGGTTGTTCTCGATAAAAACCAGACACGTAGTCATATACTAGTTTTGAGGCCGAGGTATTGTTGCAAACGATGATGAAGCAAGGAGGGACTTTGATGCCGCCGTCCTTCCACAGCTCGAAGGTCCTCTGGTAGTGGCCGTAAAGCGCCTCCAACGCACTCTTTAGAAGTGTTGGAATTTTAAGCGGATCGAGCCCCTCAGCCTTGCCTCGGCCCTTCTTGGGCATGTCTTTGCTGATGTGCTCCCAGAGGTTGCGATAGATGGGCATGTCCTTGCCCGGGATGTTATCGGCCACCGGGACGCGGGGCAGCTTGACGATCCCACACTCGATGGCATCCATCAGGGAGAAGTCGCTCATGGTCCACGGGAACAACGTGCCCTCGGCGTAGCCCGAACCGCGAAGGAAGAAGGGAGTAGCAGAGAGATCCATCACGCGGGTAACGCCGAGTTTGCGATTCACGGCTTCGAGACCGTTGATCCAGAGCCGAGCGGCCTCGCGGTTCTTGTCGGCCTCTTTGCGTTCGTCGCCCTTGAGTTGGCCTTCCTCGTCGTCGCCGACCTTAGCCCGATAGCAGTGGTGGGCCTCGTCGTTCATCACCATGACGCTGTGCATACCCATCAGGTCGGGCATGACTCGCTGGAGCATCTGGCCTTCGGTTTCGAGCGTTTCGAGCTTCTCTTCGCGCCAGCCTTCCAGGGCGGCCCGGGTGCCCTTGGAAACGTCGGTTCGTTCGCGGAGCTTGAAGGCATGGTAGTTGGTGACCACGATTTTGGCCTTGCCGATGTCGCCCAGCATGTCGCTGGGGACCATCTCGCGGTGCTTGTAGTAGCTGTCTGGGTCGTTGGGTTGAAGAACCCGCAGACGGTCGCGGATAGTAAGCCCGGGAGCGACGATGAGGAAGCCTCGGGTGAACTTCTTGCTGCTGGGCCTGCGAACCGCGTTGACCGTCTGCCAGGCAATGAGCATGGCCATGACGGTAGTCTTGCCGGCCCCGGTAGCGAGCTTCAGGGCGATCCGCATCAGCTCGGGGTTCGCCTCGGCGTTGGCGTTTTCCAAGTGGTCGAGGATCTTCTTACCGGCCTTGCCCAGCTTTGGAGCGACCTCGGCGAGCCAGATGGCCGTTTCGACCGCTTCAACCTGGCAGAAGAAGGGACGAATGCTGCTGAATGGATGGTGCCGCCAATGTTGCAGCAGCCGAGCCGTCTCGGGGGTTACCTGCCACTTGCCGGGGTCAGGGATGGTTCGCCATTCACCGACATAACGCCGGATCTCGTTGATGATTGAGGTGGGGTCGTAAGCCTGTCCCTTGCTCGAAAGGCCCTTGCCCTCGTCGAGGACCAACTCCTTCTGCTGTTTCCCCTTCGGCTTAACCTTCCGCGGCTTAGGAATTGGAGTGATGAACTCCGCCTTCCGCCGATCGTCGACAATTTGCTGCGTCGGCTGGCCCGACTGATCCAACTCCCAATGCCGGTTGGGGATCTCGTACGGCGAATTAAGGATGGGGTGTTCGAAGAAGTGGTCTGACATTTGGAGAAGCTGCCCTCACACTCTCAATTGAAGCTCCGTACCGAAGCACTACAGCAGGGTCGAGGACGAAGACCACCCGTTCGGCCCATTGCCAAACCCTGCCGGGGGTTACTTATACAGCGCCAGAGGCAGGATTTCGAGCGTTGGAGGGTGGATGGTGTCAACGGTTGACATCTTCGGGGCTGTCAACGGTTGACAACTATGGGTGGGGCAGGAGATGAGGGCGAATCGGTACAAGTCTGGAAGATTCTTCCAGGCTGGCCCCGATTAAGTGGCCCGATCAGCGTTCTGGGAATATTGGGAACGCTTTATGCCATTTCCATCAGTGAGTGCGGACCAATGCCAGAATGCTGGACTTCGCCTCATCCGTCAGGCGAGACCAAGCCTCAAAGACCTCTCCAAGTTCACAATCGATCCAAACTGCTTCGGATTCTGCTTCGCCCGATTTTCGCAATTGACATAAGCCCATTGTCTCATCATCGGTTACGGAATCCGCTTCGAATCCCTCCCCATCCGCTTTTCTCTGCGCTATCAGAGAGGCAGGGTGCTTGATGTGTGAGCGGGTTACTCGGAGGTGTAGCTAGTCGGTTGCGTCGACCTCGACTGACTCCACGTAGAAACCGTTGATGTCCGTTTCACGCGCGAGGGAGCGGAGACGGAGGTAACTGAGGCCGTGGGTAGGGGGATTTTGGGTGTTGAGGATCGTGATTGGATTGCCGTCAAGTGAGATCTGGCATTCGTCGCGGTTCCACTTCAGTTGAAGATCGTGCCAGCTGCCGGGGGTGAGTTTTGTATCTGCCGCGACTTGATACATCGGGTCGATGGTAACGGAGAACGTCGCTGCAGCTTCACCGGCGTCGTCGCAGGGGTCAAAGAAACGGTCGGTCAGGCTGATTTGGGCTCCGCCGAAGTTGGGTTCGCAGCGGAGGCGTATCTTCAATGTGCCTGAGGAGGCCGACGGGAAATTCCAGCAGGCTCCATCTGCATCGCGTTCGTCTGGCTTGCGAAGGTGAAGCACCAGTCGGGAACTCTCGGGGTGGTCTGCATGTGGAACCAATTGTGCGCCTTGTGTTCGATCGCGCCAAAATCGGGCTGCGGGACCAAACCCTTTGAACACATGCCATTCATCAAGGCTGCTCATGCCTGCCTCAGCGTGGGTTTCCAGCAACCAGTCTGGGTCGATGAGAAATCGTCGGCGACGTTCAGCCCCCTGGCCAGATACCAGTAGGATCTTGCCATCACCGGCGAGCGTGGCGTGGGGATAGGCTGTGCCGCGGTCGCCATTCTTGGGTGGCGTGCTATTTCGGGTTGGATCGCGGTACACCTCGCGAAACCCTCGCCAAGTAAGACCTTCATCGTCAGAGATAGCGGCGTGCAGGGCATCGCGACCGCCGTACACTCCATCGCCATCCACACGAGGAGGCATCTCGCAGTTGTTCCAAAACAGAACGATGCGACCATCATTCAGACGAATGGGAAAGGCCGGGGAGTTTGAGGAATAGAAAGCTGAAGGCTGCGCTTCCGACCATAGGGCGCCGTCTGGGGAGTACGACTCGTACAACTTGCCCGTCTGGGTGCGGATCAACTTCCAAACCCGACCATCGGAGAGTTCAATCAATGTGGGTTCACAGGCACCGTAGTTGCCACCGTTGTATCCCTCGAAACAAGGGGCGGTGAGGCGCGAATCTGATTCGAGCCAAGTCATACCCCCGTCGTCGGAGTAAACACACGTTGTTTCGCTCGGCCCGGTTGGTGGGGTGCGCGGGCGATTCGCGACCCAATCTGCAAAGGGGGCGATGATGCGGCCGTTGCTCAGTTGAAACACTCCTTGAATCGCGCCACAGTATCCCTCGAAGATACGTTGCGGCTCGCTCCAGCTTGTTTGGCCATCGAGCGAACGAATATGGTACAGGTCGATGAAGCGGTCGACCGCAGGGTTACGGCCTTCGCCACGAACGCGGGGAATCACAAAGTGCAGTTCTCCCGCGCTATCGAGCAGCGGCATCGGTCCGCCCCAGGGGTCCACCGGTAGATGCAGAAGTGGTTCGGCTTCCGTCCAGGTGTGCCCGTTGTCGGTGGAGCGAACTCGAAAAATCGAAACGTGTCCCGCGTGGCTGCGACGGAAGAAAGCCTCGAGCGTTCCATCGGGGTAGGTGACCGCCGCACTGGCGTAGTTGATCCCCTCGGCTTGCGTATTGCCTGGACCAAGATCGATGGGCGGTTGAGGCTCGTCAGCCTGCATGATGCCAGAAAGCGAGCACAAAACCGCCAGAGCGAGGAAAACCCGCTGCACAGGAAATATCTGGAAAGAAAGAGCACCAGCTTCGGTTCCAACATGGCTCATACAGTTGATCTCCAGAGAAGCTCGTGCTCTCGAACTGAAACCTGACCAGTGTCGATGAAGTCGGTCAAGCTAAACTTGTTCTACGAATTCACAACTTCTTCTTCCGTTGCTTCTTCAGGTAATCATACATATTGAAGCGTTTGGGAAAGGCAACTTGGTTGGCTTCAGCCCAAGCGGTCCAAAGGGCAACGAGTTTGTCGCGTTTGGTTGGGTTGGCCTCCGCGAGGTCATTCATCTCGGTGCGGTCTTTATCCAGGTTGTATAGTTCCCACGGCTTCTCGTACTCGCGGACCAGTTTCCAGTTGCCCGCACGAACGGCGGCGTTGCCCTCGTGCTCCCAGAAAACAGGTTCGGTATGAATGGGAGCCTGGCTACCTTCGATCAATGGAAGCATTGACTCGCCTTCACACGAGCCGACATCTTCAGGATAGGAGGCTCCGGCCAAATCAACGCAGGTGGCCATGATGTCGGGCAAGTAGGCGTGCTGGCGAACGAAGCTTCCACGGCTTTCTGCGGGAATGCCGGTGGGCCAAGAGATAATCATCGGCGTGCAGGCACCACCCTCGTGAACGTAGTGTTTGTAGAGTCGAAACGGTGTGTTGCACGCGTTTGCCCAGGCGAGCCCCAGCCGAACGCCATCGGTGGTTTCCAGTGGAGGGTTTTTCACCATCTCGGCCGATCCTTGCCCCAAGTGCCCGCCTTCCTGGCACGCCCCATTGTCGGAGAGGAAGAAGATGATGGTATTGTCGAGTTGCTTAAGCTCGTCGAGGTGCTGGGTGAGCTTTCCAATGTTCTGATCAATTGAGTCGATGCACCCGGCATAGGCCGCCATGATCGAGTCCAGGTCGTCGCGCTGCTTCTCGCTGAGCGATTCCCACGGCGGACCAACATGCGGTGCCGGGGTGATGCCGGGGCTGACGAGTCCAAGTTGCTTCTGCTTGGCCAGGCGCTGCTTCATCAGGGCTTCCCAGCCTTCTTTGTAATTGCCTTTGTACTTCTGAAAGTCCTCCCACTTGGCATTCAGTGGCCAGTGCGGGGCGTTGTAAGCCAGATAGAGAAAGAAGGGGCGATCATCGTCGGCGACCGCTTCTGAGATGAACTGGCAGGCGTAGTCGGTGAAGGTATCGGTGGCGTAGAAATCCTCGTCGGTCTCCACGGCTTCGTTCCCGAGAGTAATGCCGCGTCCGCCACCCGGCTTGAAGTAGTTACAGGCACCACTCAAGCAACCATAGTAACGATCAAACCCGCGTTGGAGCGGCAACGACTCGCTACGGTGCATTCCCACATGCCATTTGCCAGCCATAAGAGTGTGGTAGTTTGCCTCGCGCAGGACTTGGGCAATCGTCGTGCAGTCGTCGTTGAGATAACCCTGGTAAGCCCCCTCGAAGCCAAGCTCTCGCTCGGGCGGTTCAGTCATGTGACCGATGCCAACCTGATGGGGATGTCGTCCAGTGAGCAAGCTGGCCCGCGTCGGACAGCAACGTCCGGCATTGTAGAACTGAGTGAATCGCAGGCCTTCACTGGCAAGCCGATCGATATTGGGGGTATCAATCTCACCGCCGTAACAGCCGACATCGGAGAAGCCCATGTCGTCAACCAGGATGACCACGATATTAGGCTGTGCGGCTGGGGAGGACTTCGGAACGACGAGTACGGTCAAAGCTGCCAGTACTAGCCAACGAGTTGCGTTTCGGTGCTTAATCACTTGATGGTTACTCCGCGGATTGATCAAACTCGCCTGATTCGGCTTGGAATCAATCTAGTCGATTGTCCGGTTGAAACTATTCTCGAAACCGCTCATTTCCAATTTCGAAGGGAAGACCCCCTCGCATTGCAAAGACTGCAGTTTGCAGTGCAGTCAAGAGCACGAACAGCGACTCAACAAGTAACCGCAACACCCTTCAACTCTTGAAGAGTTCAGAAACAATTTTTCCTGGCTCTGACGATCGAACGTATTATGTCGACCAGCTTGTGCTTGCCGACGGCAGAGAACATCTAACGAAAGTTCTGCCGCAGCTTAGTTCTGTTGGCCAAGAAAAAGCGTCGCCCGACATTCCGAGGGAATGCAAATCCGATTATGGTCTAGCTAGACTCGAATCTCAAATCTGGCTTTCGATGAAGCAACTGACTAGGGGGAAGTGTCTCTCGAATCCTTAGGCGAAGGGCCATGCCAGGCGAATACACCTTTTCTCTCGATAGCGGTTTGCACAGCATCACTGCCTGCGCCATCGGGCAAATCTTTCAAGACTTCACGAAACACTCCAGGAAGCATGTGCCACTCGGCTCCATCAATCTCGATGTGAACCAGTTCACCAACTTCCGGCTCAAAGTCCGCATCGAGTGCGACTCTCACTTCCTTAGCGTTCAAACGTTGAAGTTCCGCCTCAATATCTTGGAGCATGACTCATTCTCCTAGATGAAGGTATCTGGTCGCTGCACTCGTTGTGCGGCGGATGCGAGCCTTTAAGACGAAATCAAATCTCCATGCAACTGAAACGAACCATCAAAGGCTTTGAGAGGGTTAGAAACACATACAGCAAATGACATACCCTACCCATTGTCTTGAATGGGTTTGCCATTGAGATTACTTACGGGATCTGAGGCAAGATCGAATCGGGAGGCTGGCTGACCACTGCCGCGAATAAACTTGGGGCTGGGGAACAGCTTCATGAGCAATCTGGATCGTCTGATGATCGGACAGAGACGCCCTTTGCTTCTAGAGGTGCACTGCAGGCGAGCTTCATCGATGCCGCCGACTGTCTACGAAATTGGTCGAGCATTCTCCGAAAGTACAGCCAAGCCAGCCGCACAATCACATCGCGGGGACGGAAACAGGCAGCAATCTCGTATTTGACCTGGTCGGTCTCTTGGCACCACTGAACTGCGAATCGTTCTTCGCCTATCTCAGGGTGGTCGGGCAGGGTTGCGTAGACGAATCCGAACTGTCGAGTGTCGGCGCTCGGGTACTCGTCCAGTAGCTGGATGATGCGGCAGGCGCTCAATGACCAGAGACCAAAGGTTCTGGCGAGGATGGCCACCGTTGTTCCAATTTGAATTGGAGCCTTGGGCCAGCAGAGTTCGACCCAACCAACGCGAAACTGTTCCCAGCGGTGCAGAGCTGCGACTGCTGATTGAAACACCGCCTCGCCGTGGCCTAATTCTGAGTCGGCACTATGGAAAGCATGCCCTGCAGGCCGAGTTTCGATCAACCTGCCGACGTTCGGATACGCGAAATCCAGCTTTGACTGAGCCGCGATAAACTTATCGATGTCATGCTTCGAGGGCTTTCGGAGAAACAACATCGCAGGAAATCTCAATAGCCGGCGGTCGATTCTAAATTGAGCTCGCTCACCTGTTCATTCAGCGTCCACAAGTCGTACAACCAACCCACCAAAAATAGTCCGCCTGTAAGCAGGTAAATGATACCGGTCAGGAACTTCCCCATGTAGAAGCGGTGAACGCCGAAAGCTCCCAAGAATGTCAGGAGGATCCACGTGATGTTGTAATCATAAGGTCCTTCGGCGTAGCGGAAGTTGGCTTCACGATCCATGCCAGGGATCAGCACCAGGTCAATCAACCACCCAATACCCAAGAGCCCGAACGTAAAGAACCAGATGGTTCCGGTAATCTGCTTGCCGTAATAAAACCGATGAGCCCCGGTGAACCCGAAGATCCACAGCAAGTATCCAATTACCATCGAATGAGTATCGGGCGGATAAGGAGAGCTCATAGGGTCGATCCTTCAAGTCGCAAATAATCAAATGGGAACACCATCCACACCACCTAGGACAAAGCTAAGTGAAGCAGATCGCCCCTTTCCTAACACCAATCGCAGCCTTCGGCAAGCAGGGCTCGAGCCACGTTATGCAGGTATAGAAACAACGAATGCCGAGCAGGCTTGTACAGCCCGATCGGCATCGTTGCGTCCCGCCAAATCCTTGTCCGTCAAGAATGGTTGAGCTTCGCCTTACCGCGCGCGGCAAAATCAGGCCAGTTTTCCTGATCGAAGCCGGGGTTATTCTCAAGCGATTTCTCGTCCATTTTCACGACAAGGAAATACTCGCCGTCTTCTCCGCGTCGACAATCAATTTCGTCGAAGGGAATGGCAAATAACTTATCGCCAATACCCAATACACCACCGCGCGACATGGCGATGTAGTTCACTTTGCCTTTCGTCAAGTCGACCACGAAGTCGTAGACCTCGCCAATCTCCTCGTTCGATTGGTTCATGATCGCCATACCCGTCAGTTCGCTGACGCGATGAATAGTATTTTCAGCCGTTGCACGCTGGGTACCCTCGACGCGATCACGATTAGCTTCATCCTTACGATCAAGAACACGGTCGCTGGCATTATCTCGATTCAGATCGATCGCCACATCAACGTCGCCGGCTTGTACGTCGATGTCAGCAGCGTCATCCGCTTGGGGATGATGGAGATAGTTTTCATAGTGCTTGTTGATCTTGTCACCCCAAGACTTGTCCGCGAAATCGGGCCAGTTGTCTTGATCGAAGCCGGGAGCACTCTTGAGAGTTTTCTCGTCGACGGGCAGCGTGAGATAATACTCGTTCGCATCTTCACCACGGGTGAGTCGAAACGCATCGACGGGCACAGCAAACAGCTTGTCACCCAATCCCAGGAATCCACCGTACGACACTGCCAAGTAATGCACGTCGCCTGAAGTGACGTCGATCACAATATCTGTGACTTCACCGAGATCTTCATCCTCGGCGTTTTTTACAGGCATGCCGTCGATAACGCTGCTTCGCAAGACGCTATCTTTGGCTTTCACATCGGTCGTTGCTTCAGTATCGTCGGCGGCCAATAGCACCGGCACGCACGCGAACAAAATCGCAGCTACCGCGCTCGCAAAACTTTTGGCATTCATCACTCTTCTCCCTTCAGTTTCCTACAAACCTCTGGCAGAATTGCCATTCCGATCACGGTTGATCGGGAAAAGAACAAGGTGAGCGATGAACCAGCAAGCTGACTTCATGGATTCGATGCACTTTGTCAATTGACGGGCATCTAGGGTGTCTTGTGACCTGCAGTGCTGATTGTGTACCCACCACGTGATAAGTCTTGCATTTGGTGTGCCATTCGAAGCACAACTGCTAAATGTCGCGCGTTACAAATGTTTGGCAGCGCGACCAGTCAGACAATGCGATTCGATCACGACAGCCAACTCCCACCCTGCCTCACGTCCAACGGATTTTCTGCAAAGAATCATTCGTCCAGCTCGTCGCGGTTCTTTCCAAACCACGATTTACTACCACCGACCAATAAGAGGATGGTCACTGCCAGAAGTGCAGTCCCCGTGGCAAAGATGATCTGGCCGACAGCCACGGCGATGCCAACGCCTGAGGTAAGCAAGATTGAGGCGGCCGTAGTCAAACCTTCGACCCGATCACCTCCCTGGTGGAATATCGTCCCCGCGCCAAGAAAGCTTATCCCGATCACAATCGCCTGAATGATACGAATCGGGTCGGCGTCGACGGTTTCGATTCCTTCGCCCCGTTGAAACTCATCGAGTACCGGGTCGCCTAACAATACCAACATAGCGGAAGCCGCACTTACAAACATATGTGTCCTTAGGCCCGCCGGCTTATCTGCAAGTTCTCGCTCCAACCCGACAATCGCACCCAGGACCGCCGCCAGTGCGACCAGTCCAAGATTCATCAGTTCATATTCCCAATGAATTGCCATGGAACGAACTCTCGGGAAACCCAGATCAAAGAAGGAATTTCGCGCACCTGAAGGCAACCAATGTGTTTACAAAGTCTCCACGGTTCATGCTGGTTCAGTACGGCTATGAAAGCAATTCTCATACCGGTTCTGCATTCGGCCACTTGACTTTCATAGGGTGCAATCTGCCTTGCCGCTGACTGACGAGGTGCCGGCTTGCGCGTTGAACGCTCATCTTCTCAAGAATGTTCGCCCGGGTCCCCTTGGAAACTGTTTCCGGTCCCGGCGACGCTTTTTGCTGGGCATGGTGATTCGTCAAGCTGCATTGGGATCAACGGTATTCCTCAGACAGACGAAGCAAAATTTGGTGGCCGAGGCGCATTCTCGTTATTCTGTTGGCTGAATGATCGCTCGAACCCAGAGGTCCTGCTGCCCACCCGTCTTCCACACAACCCTATTTGTGTTGCTGTACGGAAGGCCGCGACACGCAGCTGCGGTCGTCATATGCGTTTCGAATTGATATAAAAACCGACGGTCTACTTGGCAGGTATTGTCTGATAATGGCCGTGATTTACGAATACGCTCAACCCTGGAGTTGAAAAATGTATCGCACCCTAGGCATCTTCGTGGTTTGTAGCCTCCTTTCAATGCCCGTGCTAGCGGGTGAGCAATCGCCTAAGAGTGTGGACCTGCACTTCGTAAAGGCCCTCGACCTGGCGGGCAATCCTGTCAAGCTGGTGGAGAACGAAGCACGAAGCGGTACGGCTTTCGTCTTCATTTCTTCAGATTGCCCACTGTCGAGACAGTACATCCCAGAGTTGAATCGTCTGGCTGGTTCCGTAGCTTCGGAGGATGTCGGCTTCTATGGGATTCTTTCCGATCGCACCGTCGATCGAGCGACTGCCCAACAGTTCGCCAAGGAGTTCAACATCCAGTTCCCAGTGCTGTTCGATGCCACCGGTGAGCTAGCCGAATTGATGCAGCCCTCGCATGTTCCACAAGCCTATTTGGTCGATTCCCAGGGAGTTGTTGTTTATCGGGGACGGATCGACGACCTATATGCCGATGTCGATAAACGTCGCGATGAGCCTCAGCAACGAGATCTCTTCGATGCAATGACTGCTCTGGCCTCCGGTGAGAGCATTGAGCCGAAAGTCACCGAGACCGTGGGCTGCTTGTTCGAGAATCGCTCTGAACTACCCGAAGACGGTGAAGTAACTTACACGCGGGACATCGCGCCGATTGTGTTCGCCAACTGTGCCGAATGTCATCGGCCGGGCGAGGTCGCTCCGTTTTCGTTGCTCACCTATGAAGACGCCTCGAAACGGGCCAACTGGCTCAGCGAGGTAACCAGCAGCGGGTTGATGCCACCTTGGCGGGCCAAAATCGGCCACGGGCATTTTCTTGATGAGCGCCGTCTGACAGAGAAGGAAATCGAACTTATTCAGAAGTGGGCAGATGCCGGGGCTCCGCGTGGTGACGAGGCCGACATGCCGCCTCTGCCGGAGTTTCCCTCTGGCTGGCGTTTGGGTACGCCCGATCTCGTCGTCGAGGCTCCCGCTTTTGTCACCGTGCCGGCCGACGGTCCTGACATTTTCCATCATTGGGTCATGCCCATTGAAATTCCCGAAGGCAAAACGCTGATAGGCTTCGAATTTCATCCAGGCAATCCCGCAGTCGTGCATCACGCGGTTCTAGGGCTGGACTCAACTGGCGGATCGCGTCGCCGCGATGCCGAGACACCGGAACCGGGATATCGTTCTTCCGGATCTATTGAGGGTTCGATGTCGGCGTTCGTTGGTGTGTGGACTCCCGGCGTAACCCCCCGTTTCTATCCTGACAACGTGGGGCTGAAGGTCACCGAGAGCACCGACCTGCTGCTCCAACTCCACTTGCACCCTAGTGGCAAGGAAGAAGCAGACAAGTCATCAGTCGGCTTGTACTTTTCAGACAAACCTGCAGACGAGTTGAAGACGCAGTCGATGTTCATCACCGGCTCCTTGATCATCGATATCGAGCCCGGCGACGATAACTACCAAGTGAAGTCTTCTGTCACACTCCCAGTTGATCTTACGCTTACATCGGTCTTCCCTCATTTGCATCTCATCGGCAAGGACGTTCGTGTCCTTGCTACGTTGCCCGACGGCGAAGAGATGCCACTGATCACCATCGATGACTGGAACTTCTACTGGCAAGACATCTACACCTACAAGAAGCCGGTCGTGCTGCCGAAGGGCACTAAGGTCGATCTGGTCGCTCATTACGACAACTCTGCTGCAAACCCCTTGAACCCCAACAGCCCTCCCGAAAAGGTGCTCTTCGGAAACGACAGCGACGATGAAATGTGTTTCGTGCTGTTTCAATCCATCGACGAGGGCAACGGCGGCATGCGTCGGATGGGGCCAGCCATGATGACTTCGTTCATCAAGGAGTGGAATGAAGCCGACCTCTCTTACGAATCCCGCGAGCACATCGTCGACGAGGCGCTCAAGCTTTTCGGTGGCGGAAGGGGACGAGAAGGGGCCGAAATGTTCCGCCGCATGCTGTTGGGCAGTAAGCCGAAAGAGAAAGAATCGGACAAAGATCCGGCCGGCAGCTAAGGACTTACTCCCGAACTCTGCTCGTTTGGACTATGATGGTGGTAGCAGAAAATGATTCCATGCCCCAGGCTTGGATTGCCATCGCACATTGGAAATAGTCTTAGCGAGCAGAAATGTGACGAGCACGCTGAAACGTGAGAAGGTCTCTGCAGACCCGCTTGCCGACAACATCTTAAGGGCGATCCGACGCATCCTTCGCAAGGCGGCCGAAGACCGTCAGCAACTAGCCCTCGACGGCGACCTCTCGGTTTCAGAGTTGCTTTGTCTACGGAGAGTTGCCGAGGCAACCACGGCCGACCCCATCACCGTGGCCGGCGTTGCGTCTGCAGTGCAGCTATCGAATGCTACCGTGTCCCGCATCTCCGATCGCTTGGACGCCGCGGGACTCATCGTACGCAATCGGAGTAAGGTGGACCGCAGGAAAGTCTTTCTAAAGCTCACCCCCAAGGGTAGGCGACGTGTTAAGAAACTGCCGCCCCCATTACACGAACAGTTTCTCGCCAGGCTCACTAAACTGCGAAAGAGCGATCAACGTGATCTCCTAGAGTCGCTCGAACGTATCGTTGAAATGATGGGGGCAACCGATCTCGATGCGGCCCCCATGCTCACGCCAGAAGCGAACGTCAAGTCATCCACGCGAACTTGACCATGGGATTGATCGGGACAATTACAATCCCGGGATGCTCACACGCATTCGCTACTGTCGAATTGTGAGTTCTCGAGTGGCGTTGGTGAGCACTTCAGACCCGGTTTCGGTGACGAGCACCGTGTCGGAAAGGAAAGAATCTCCGCGACCGGTGCGCAACAACCAGGAAAGCACGTGGAAGACCATCCCCGGCCTTAGTCCCAAGTCTGATCCGGCCCGCAGTCCAACGGGAACTCCACCGCCCGACCAACTGGGAGGGAAGCCGATTCCTACCGAGTACCCGCAGTGATGCCGGCGGTAGTGCTGAAGCCCAGCTCGATCGACCGGTTTTTGCCAAGCCGAATAAACTTCACCCGCAGTCACTCCGGGGCCAATGGCCTGAACCGCCCCATCGATTGCTTCGCAGCACACATCGTGAATCTGTTGCGTGCCCGGTGAGGCTTCGCCGATATGAATCAGCCGGCCGATGGGCGCGTGATACCGATGCCGGCAGCCGGACATTTCGATGAACAACACATCGCCATGCTGCAGCATCTGATCGTCCCACGTGCCGTGCTCGTGTTCGAGCGTGCGAGTGGAACGGACCAGTGGCACAAAGGCAGGATAAGTTCCCCCTCGACGGAACATGGCTTGGTAAATCGAACCGACAACCTCTCGTTGTTCTACACCCGGCCCGGCAGAGGCCACACCGGTGAGCATCATCGAGTCGGATACGGCGGCGGCTTCGCGAATACAGGCTTGCTCCAACGACGACTTCACCATCCGGCACTGGTCGACAAGAGACGAAGCGTCGTGCCATTCGACTTTCGTCAGTCCACGCACAATGCCGTCGGCGATGCGGTACGGCAAGAAAGAACTTTCCTTTTCAATCCCCAGTCGACCCTGGTTCAGCCCAAGCTCATTCAGTACTTCGCATGTCACGTCAATGGGGTTCGAAACATCCAGCGGTGGACCTTCTCCACTGCGGACAGATACACCGATACTAGCCGACCATGGCCTCAGTCCACCGATGCCCCCATCTTCGGTCGGCACGCCCATCGCCAAGTCTTGATCTTCGTGCTCCGGGGGAGGCAACGGTTGAGCACCATCGGAATAACCCACGTGCCGCACATCGGGCACCATGTCCCGAATGGTCGCTCGTTCCATGGCCCTGGTGATCAACACCGGCTGGCCTTCGAGCGGTACCACCAGCAACTGATAGGCGAAATATCCCTGGTGATTCAAGCCGGTCAGGTAGTAGACATTCTCGGGGCTGGCTGTGAGGCAAGCATCCAACCCGCGCTCGACCATCAACTCCCGAACACATTTGAGCCGGTGTTGGTACTCTTCCGGAGGAAAATGGCGCATTCCGCTCATGGTTTTCGTTCCAAGTTCGACAAGTAACCGTAAGACAGTGAATCCGCCTAGTACGTCCCGCGCTCACCCTCGGAAACCCAAATGGGGCAGGGGGGGTACGCACCTGCACGCGGCAGCAGCTCTCGCACGTCGGCCGAGAAACTACTTTCGTCTGCAACGGTTCTCATCTTAACCATTTCACCTGCAGCGAAAAGGCTTAGCCAGTGGTTCGAAGCTGAGGGATTCCAGCCCCTTCCTCGTCAGCGTCGGAAGCTGATACGACCAGTTCATCGTGAATTTGACGCACGATTCGCTCCACACGCTGCATCTCGTCAAGTTGTGTTCCGGCCCGATTTCGGACGACGGTCGCCGTGAGCACTTTCGTACCAATCTGATAGGCGGCGTAGGTTAAAGGTTCGAAGTCCTTGATGAACCGGTTGAACTTAGTGGATAGTTCCTCGGTGACATTACCAATCACTCTCAGATACCAGGTTCGATGGGCCTGAGGCTGTAGGCCCCGTTCGGTAAGTCTTTGCACAACCTCTTTGATGGCCGTCTCATCGCCGCACACAATGCAATCGGTTCCGCTACGTTGATGGCGGATCTCTTCGACGTTGACCTTATGCTCAGCGAATACGCTGAGAAATGAAGTCAACTGCCCAGGTTCGTCGGGTATGGTCCCGGCGTGAATGTTAACCGCTTCCAGAGGCCGCTCGATGATGTACAACCCAGCGGGTAGCTCCACGTCGGAGACCACCGTGCGCATCTCAGGCTGAGCTGGATCGAAGATGTGAACCGGCACCGCACCTGCGCGAACCGGCTCGACTGCCCTCGCGTAGATATTGCCTGCCTCGGTGGCCAGATCGTAATCGAGTTCGCGCACCGTTTGGGCCGCTTCGCCCACAAGCATATCGTCGCCAGTAAGTACGCCGGGGGTCTCTTTGCAGAAACCAACGTATTCAGCATCGAGAGCCAGCCCTAAGAACGTTGCCGTGAGATCGGAACCACCACGGCCGAGGCTTGTGCGATGCACTCCGCTGTAGTGCTCCTCGAGTTGCTCATCATGACTGGTCTGCATGATTTCTGTGAACTCATTGTGCGGGTCGTAGATGCCATCGAATCCGGTCACAATCGGCAGGATGTTGCGTTCCAGATATTGCCCCAGAATGACTTCCCGCGAATGGTCAACCGCTCGTGCCCAATCGATGGTGGCCGAACCGAACACATTGTCGGTGTAGATCCCCAGTTCCAATGCCGTGACCGGGGCGGTCTTTAACGGGAACGTGCCGTCACGATGGCAACGGTTCAGGTAGCCGGAAATCACCTTAACTGCCAAACGTTCGCCGGCCGTGATAATCACATCGTTCAGGCTCGGAACGTTCTCGAAAGCCGAACACGACATGGTAACGGTATTCTTCAGCGATTGGATTTCGTCCTCTAGATCACCAATCAGTTCCTGATCTCCGTCTAATTCGAGATCCCAAATAAGCTGCATGTGGGCATCGTGAATTTCCTTGATGAAAGACTCCACGCCGGTGGAAAACGAATCGTGCCGGGCCACATAAGCTTTATAGTTCTGAAGCATGTCCGTGACACTGAACTTTTTCTGCGATCCACTACGACCGCGGCGATATGCAGAAAACACAGGTACGACAAACCTGTCTTGTGCAACCAAATCGGCGATCGTCTGGCGAGCCAGCTTAATTCGGCCCTGCTGTTTAGTGGCTCCGACCGTAGTGCCTCCAAATTTCAACACAACAACGTCCTTGCTGCTGCGGCGATGCGGCACAGAGGCCAGCCTGACATCTGAAACGGTTAATGGTCTTGGCATGTATCTAATCCTGGGAGGGCTGGGAGATTGGTAGTAACGGACGGTAGTCGCCCGAGCCACGAAGCCCTTCACAGCTGGCCACTGCAGCGGCCATGCCAGGCAGATTCGTAACTCTAGAAACCCCACCGTAACGGAGAGAAGCTCGCGCGCAATCTTTACGTACGGCAGACGATGCTGCCAGCGGCGGCTGCTCTGGCACCGAACCCCAATTCGGTGCAGTCCGTTTTAGATTCATCTAATAGGCTAGCGCGGTGCAGCGATCTGTTCTCAAGATCGAGCCCGCGTTCCATCACTTACGACATTTAAACAGCGCGAACTCAACTGACTTCAACCATGGAAATGTCGAACGTCAAACTATGTCCGGCTAGCGGGTGATTGGCATCGACAACGATCGTCGAATCGGTCACCTCAGTCACTGTAGCTCCAATGGGCGAGCCATCTTGCTGCTTCAGTTCCACACGCTGCCCAACTTGTGGCTGCACATCCTGCGGAATCTTTCCGCGATCGACCGAGACCATCATCTCATCGCGTTTCTGCCCGTAGGCGTCTTCGGGCGGTAGTTTTACCGTCTTCGAATCGCCAGGGCTCATCCCGACAACCGCCTGTTCGAACCCTTTGATCAAGCGATCTTTACCCAACACGAATCGCAGCGGTTCCTTATTCTGGGTCTCGTCGAAGACCGATCCGTCTTCGAGTCGTCCGGTGTAGTTGACCGTGACCGTGCTGCCGTTCTTTGCTTGAGCCATGAGATGCTCCTTCGCTTCAGAATATCGAACGTGATTCAGGGTTCGCGAAATGTGGTTTGAACACTACTCCTGGTTCACTTCCAGAACTGAGAACTCGATATCGCCTTCGGGCCCGCTCAGCAAAACTTTGTCGCCAGGCGTTTTCCCCAACAGGGCCTGTCCCATCGGGTTTTCAACCGGAATCTTGTTCTGCAAGACATCGGCCTGCGACTCTTTCACGACCTGGAATACTTCCTGGTTGTCGGTTCCGTGCTCGAGTAGCGTGACCGAAGATCCAACACATACGGCTTGCTCATTGTCGCTCATACCAAATTTCTCCTTCTTCGCCGTTGGTAGGACGAAAGCATATCTCAAAAAACATTCAATCGCGGTGGGTGCGCTCTACAGGTCGCACACCGGTGTGACGTCGCGTTCGCTCAGGAACTCGGGCCGTGCTGGGGTCCCGCCGTACGGGTCGTGCACTCCGTTTTCAACACTGTTGTAGACAATGAACAGGTTGGTCCGCGGATAGGGGCTCAAGTTGCCCGACGAGCCGTGCATCAGGTTGCATTCAAAGAACAGCCCCGAACCTGGAGGTCCTTTGGGGGCAACGATTCCGCCGCGGTCGACCAATTCGCGCATCGCCTCTTGCGAAGGAACACCATACTCCTGCTTTTTCAGCGATTTCTCGAAGTGATTTTCCGGAGTCGCCCCCACGCAACGCACATAGTGCTTGTGTGATCCCGGAACGACCATCAGTGGCCCATTGAACTCATTGCTGTCGGTCAAGCTGATCGACACACTCACGGCCCTCATCCGCGGCATCCCATCTTCGATGTGCCACGTCTCAAAATCGGAGTGCCAAAAAAACTCCTTCCCGTCGAAAGCCGGCTTGAAATTGATCCGCGACTGGTAAACGTAAACCTCGCTACCCAAGAGTTGTCGCGCGATATTCACCAATCGCGGGTCTTGGGCCACCGCACGAAATGTATCGCTCGTTCGGTGCAGGCGGAACAATGAACGCACGGCGTTGCTGCCGGGCTCGATGACCACGCCGGGTTTCGGTCCCGTTACCTCGGCTGCCAACTCTTTTGCCTCGGCCAGAAACCCCTCGGCTTCGTCCTGAGAGAAGAGAGTTTGCGAGTGATGAAACCCATTGCGTTCGTAGGCAGTCACATCTTCTGCACTGAGCGCCGGTCCTAGGGTGGGCGGCTTTCCCTCACCCCACATTACGGGATCTTCACGTGCAACGACTTCCGATTCGCTTTGAGTGCGCGACCAATAAGGGTCGGCAATCGCTTGCAAGCTCATGACTTCACCTTCGATCCTTTGCTGTCTATTGAGTTACTGCGGTGGATTCGTCGTCCTCGAAAAGGGGGTAGACTCCTTTCTCGTCGTGCGACTCAGGACCCACCAGCGGCGGATTGAACACGCAGACCATCCGCATCGTCTCCTCGGCCTTCAGGATATGGCGATCATTCAAGTCCAAGGCGTAGACCGTCCCGGCTTCAATTTCGAACACTTCACCGGAATCGACCAAGGTGACGGTGCCTTTGCCCTCGATGCAGTACACGGCTTCCAGATGGTTTTGGTAATGCATCTCGGTCGTTGTGCCGGCATGAATTGTGGTGTCGTGCAGCGAAAAGCCCATGCGATCACTTCGCAGCAGCAACCGGCGGCTTTTCCAGTTTTCGGCACCCACTTCACGATCGGTGCCTTCAATGTCTTTCAACGAACGTACGATCATGTATCTACTCCTTACTATCTTATCGCTTACTTGCCGCAACTGAACTTCGCTTCGCGAACTCGGTCAGTCACGACAATTTAGTAGTTGTTGCTCGAGCACCGCTTATCCTTCCGCCACGGCACCCAGCGCCGCTTCGACGCTCTCGGCTATGATCTCCAGCCCATGCTGCAGGGCATTATCTGAAATTGTCAGAGGCGGCAGCACTTTCAGTACTTCGTCCTGGGGGCCGGAGGTTTCGATGATTAGCCCTCGCTCGAATGCCTCCCGCGACACTTCACTGGCGGCATCTTTGTCTCGGAATTCAAGGCCCTGTATCAGACCCCGTCCCCGCACGTTCCCACCGTAGTTCTCTGCCGTTTCTCGCAGACTGTTGCGCACGATTTGTCCTCGCCGCTTCACGTCGTCTGATAACTCACCCTTGGCCCAATAGTTCTTCAGGGCTGCCGTGGCAGTGACAAAGGCCAGGTTATGTCCGCGAAACGTACCGTTGTGCTTGCCTGGCTCTAACACGTCGAGTTCCGGGCGAAGCAATGTGACTGCAAACGGCACCCCATAGCCTGAGAGCGATTTGGACAAACAAATGATGTCGGGCTCCAGCCCAGCCGATTCGAAGCTGAAGAACGGTCCCGTGCGACCGCAGCCGACTTGGATGTCGTCCACAATCAGCAGGATCTCGTACCGTTTTAGCAATTCTTGCAACCGTCTTAACCAAGGGTTGGTCGATACATTCACCCCACCTTCGGCCTGCACCGTTTCCAGAATCAGTGCCGCCGGCAAATCGACGCCACTGCTGGTGTTCTTCAGATGCTGCTCTAGCAGATCAATCGTATCGAGTTCGGAGCCCATGTATCCGTGGTAGGGCATCCGAGTGACATCGGTCAGCGTTACCCCAGCGGCATCGCGTTTGCTGCCATTGCCAGTCAGGGCTAACGAACCGAGCGTCATGCCGTGAAACGCATTGGTGAACGCCATCACATTCGGTCGACCGGTCACCATTCGCGCGACTTTTAAAGCAGCTTCCACTGCATTGGTACCCGTTGGGCCGGGGAACATCACCTTGTAGTCCATGTTCCGAGGACCGAGCACGAGCCGATTAAAGGTTTGCAGGAATTCTCGTTTGGCCGTGGTAGCCATGTCGAGGCTATGTGTTACTCCATCACTTTCGATGTACTTCAGCAGCGGTTCTTTCAATTTAGGGTTGTTATGCCCGTAGTTGAGAGAGCCGGCTCCTGCGAAGAAATCGATGTATTCATTGCCGCGCTCGTCCCACATCTGGTGGCCTTGAGCCTTTGTGAAAACGGTAGGAAACGAGCGGCAATAAGATCGAACTTCTGATTCGAGTTCGGCAAAGACTTCCATCATGTTGGTTGGTTCTCCTTAGGCGAATCAGCAAAGGGGCCTATACAAAATAGTTCTTCGTCTTCGTGCTCTTCTGCAGAATCTCCTGGATCGAACATCTCGGCAGTGAACCCTTGTCGGATTCGACAGGGAACATCCAGATCCTCTGCGAAGGATTCAAACAGCCCTCGCGAGGCTTCATTACTCGGGGTCACGGTCGCCTGCAGAAAGCGAACTTCCTTACACGCGGGCACCGAAACCAAAGAGTGCAACAAGCGCTTTGCCAATCCCTGGCGACGGGCGCTCTTGGCAATTCCGATTTGCCATACAAAGACGACCTCAGGTTGCTCGGGTGGCCGGTACGCGGTCACAAACCCCACGACCTCAGAACCTCGACAGGCAACCACACAAGTGTCGGAAAAGTCTCGGCACAACAGCAGGTAACAATATCGTGAGTTTGGGTCTAAGACCTTCGATTCAACGACAAGTTCCCAGATCGCAGCCGCATCGGACAACTCAGCAGCTCGGAAGCTGACAGAAAGTGCGCTCGCGTGCGTTGCTGTGGATTGGTTGTCTGCTGGCACGAGTCCGTTGCAAACAGCCGGTTCCTTCGCAGCTACGGAGGACAAAGCACCGCAACAACAAGTTCCCCAACTACTTATGGCGTGAGTATTGAACTATCGAAATGGTACCGCTAAAAACGATTGCACATACAACTGTTGCGTGTGCAATCATTTCGCAAGAAAACACCGTAACAGAAGCCTAGTGCACATTCAACCGGGACTGGCACTTCGCTGCACCCCTTGCAAGCTTGATGCCTTCAAGCATCAAAAAGAATAGATAATCACTTTAATCTGCAATCATCACCCCCAGAGAGAACCAGCTTGGTCCGCATCGTGGAACAAATTGGCCGAGTTCTTCAGAGGATTGAAGAAGTACTGCTGGCAGTGTCGATCGGTGTCATCGCTTGCTTGACCATACTCAACGTCTTCTGTCGGTCGCTCTTGGGTTTCAGCCTTGCATTCACGGAAGAGGTTTCTCAGTTCTGCATTATCGTGGTCTGTTTCGTGGGGCTGAGCTACGCCGCCAGCAAGGGGCGTCATATCCGCATGACGGCCCTCTACGATCAACTCTCCCACAAGATGCGAAAACTCTTCATGACAGTCACTGCTGCCTTGACGGCAGTGATGATGTTCGCTCTCACTGCATATGCCGTGCAATATGTACACACCGTGTATGAACTCGGGGGTATCTACCCCGCTCTCCGGGTGCCCTATTTCGTGATGTACGCGATTACCCCCGTAGGGCTGTTCCTCGCAGGCTTGCAATATGCCCTCGCTTGCATACGAAACCTGACCAGCGAAGACATCTATCTTTCGTTCGAAGTGAAAGACGAGTACGAGCAGCCGGTAACCCAGGAAATCTAAACCATGCTGTGGATGTCGGCGCTCATACTCGCGATCATGGTTGGGCTGTTGCTGCTCGGCTTTCCGATGAAGGTTCCGCTGCTAGCGGCCACCTTTGCGGTCTTGCTGATTTACTATCCCGGGGATGTTACTCCGGCCATCATCATTCAACAGTGGATCGGAGGCATCTCCCCCGCGGCTCTGATTGCGGTCCCCATGTTCATCCTGGCGGCCGATATCATGACGCGAGGGCAGGCCGCCAACCGTTTGCTCGACATGGTTTCCACCTTCGTGGGGCATCTTCGCAGCGGACTTCCCATCACCACGGCCGTAAGCTGCACCCTGTTCGGGGCCATGTCAGGATCGACGCAAGCCACCGTGGTGGCAATCGGCGACCCGCTTCGTCCCCGATTATTGCAGGCCGGCTATACCGACTCGTTTTCAACGGCATTGATCATCAATGCCAGCGATATCGCGCTGCTGATCCCGCCCAGCATTGGCATGATTGTTTATGGGGTGGTCTCAGGAACTTCGATTGGCGAATTGTTCATCGCAGGGATTGTCCCTGGGCTGGTGATTCTGCTGGCCTTCTGCATTTACTGCTATTTCGTCTCAGTGCAAACCAAAGTCGACCGCCTTGCTCGGGCTGGTTGGACTGAACGCCTACAAGCCTTACGAAGGGCAATTCTCCCACTCGGCTTCCCGGCCATCATCATGGGCGGAATCTACACTGGCATCTTCAGCCCCACCGAAGCGGCCGCCGTGAGTGTGCTTTATGCGATCGTTCTCGAGATGCTCATCTTTCGTGAGATGTCATTGCACGACCTCTATCAATCAGCACTCTCCACTGGGATGGTCACTGCGATCGTATTTGTCCTGGTCGGGGCAGGAGCTGCTTTCTCGTGGGTCATCTCCTTCGCACAGCTCCCACAGACGATATTGAATGACACATTTGGTCTCACCGCACAGTCTGGCTATTGGACCATCATGCTGGTCGTCTGCGCCGCATACTTCGTCGGCTGCATGTTTGCCGATCCAATCGTGGTGATCTTAATACTTACACCCATCTTTCATCCAATCGCAGTGGACTCGGGGATCGATCCCGTTTTGATGGGGGTGATCGTCACATTACAAGTCGCCATAGGTTCCGCCACGCCGCCGTTTGGTTGCGATATCTTCACCGCGATTGCTATCTTCCGACGCCCCTATCTGGAAGTCATCCGCGGAACCCCCCCATTCATCGCCATCTTGTTGGCAGTTTCGCTGCTACTAATCGCTTTCCCACCTATCGCGCTATTCCTTCGTGATATGGCGTTTCCCGGATAAATTCCACAGGCTCACTAAATGCTTTCGACTCGGTTTATCGATGCCATCATCTTGATGCTGGTTCTTTTCAATCCCTTGTTGATGGGGTCCTATTTACACGACCTGATGAACAAGCTCACCAGCGGTGTCTTCGCCGGCATTTTGGTTCGAGCCTTCCTCATTAGTTGGTGCGTTTTCCTCTTGTTCGCCTGGGCGGGCGACAGTCTGTTCTCAGGAGTACTCCAGGTACGTTTTTCTGCATTCTTGATTTTTGGCGGAACCGTATTCCTCATCATTGCACTGCGATACATGGTGACCGGGGCAGAGATGATCGGCACCCTGAGGGGTGAAGTCGAACACCTGGCAGGGGCGATCGCCATGCCGTTTATGATTGGGCCTGGCACAATCAGCGCTAGCGTCCTCATTGGGGCCGACCTACCGGTGTGGCTCGCAGGACTATCAATCGCAATCGCGCTGTTGATTAGTTGCCTGATGCTGATCGCCATGAAGTGTCTTTTCGATTACGTTCAACAACACAACGAACGGCTCATCGAACGCTACGCCGAAGTGATGGGGCGCATCTCGGCACTGATCATTGGAACAATCGCAGTCGAAATGATTCTCAAGGGCCTAGACCTCTGGCTGGCCGACCGAGGGTAACAACCGTGGAACGAACAAGTTTGACGAGCGGAACCTTCCACGTTCGCCGACTACTGTTGGCTCTTTCACTCGTGGTTTGCCTCGCTTCGACCGGCTGCGGGCCGAGCAAAGCCACTGCTCCAGTAGCCAACGGCGACACTCGCCAAACGTGGCGATTCGCCATTGAAGAAGCCGAGGGTAGTGTTCAGCACGAATATGCTTTGCGGTTCAAGCAACTAATTGAAGAACGCACGAACGGCGAAGTCGAGGTGATCGTCTATCCCTACGGCACGCTAGGAACGTCGACCCAGATCACCGAACAGCTCAACATGGGAGTCATTGAGTTCGCCATGGCTTCCCCCGGCACACTCGGCAAGTTCATCCCAGAGCTGCAGGTATTCCTCTTGCACTTCGTACTACCCGAAGATGAGCGCGAAACCCAGCGGTTGTTGAGCGACCCGGAGTTGATTGCTTATTTCGACAAACTCTACGCCCCCAAAGGTCTGCAACTTCTGTCCATCTTCTCAGAAGGCGAGATGGTTTGGACGATGAAAGACAAAGTTCGCAGTCCCGAAGATTTCGAAGGCTTGAAGATGCGGGTGATGACTTCCCCACTCCTACTTGCCGCCTACAACGCTTACGGAGCCAGCGCCACCCCTATGCCGTATTCGGAGGTTTACAGCGGGTTGCAGCTCAACATGATCGACGGGCAGGTGAATCCAATCTTCGCGATCGAACGTCAAAAATTCCACGAGGTCACTTCCTGGATGATCTTTCCCGGTCACACCTCGTTCATCACGACATGCGCGGCCAATCGCAAATTCATCGGGCAGCAACCGAAAGAGCACCAGGAGCTGATAGACAGTGTGATTGAAGAGCTAGACGACTATATTTTCACCGTCCAGATGCGATACCAAACCGAGCGTCTGAAGAGGATTCTTAGGGATAAGAAACGTCAACAATCGCAGCTGACAATCATCGGTGAAGTAAGCCAGTTCCTCGAGTCACTCACTTCCGAGGAGCGAATCGAGTTGGTTGAGAACAATCCGCACGTCACTTTGGTGCCGGGGCTTTCCCCGAAAGAGCGGGATGGATTTCGGGAAGCCAGCAAGTCAGTGCATGACGTTTTTTTGAGAATCGGTGGGCCTCACAGCCACGAGGTTTTGCAACTTTTGAGCGGACCCAGTTCGATCGAATAGGAGGAAAAGACGCTAAACTCGCCGATTGACACAGTGGTGGATTTGACGCTGCTCATGCGAGCGATTGACTGACATGGACTCGCCGAAGAAGAAGTACAACCTTCCGAATAACTTTCAATTTGCCTAGCAGTCTCCAGAATCGACCGGGAGTGCCCGAAGGCCGTAAGAGCGAGTCGATTCAGCACAGAAAAAAATTTTCTGAATTCCGACCCAGAAGTAGGGTGCATCTGCGATTTCTACGCATATACTTAAATCAGAGGGCCGACTTCGGTCGACTCTCAATCGACCCGATACAGGTACCTGCCCCACCTGTGTCGGGTTTTTTTATGCGAGGTCTGAAGGCTTCAGACAACCGGGCAAGACCGATCAACGGTGGGCGGCAGAGTAGACGAAGACATAACCGGCCCGCGATTTGGCCTCATCCGTCGCCGGATCTCGAATGGGCTGATTACCTCCAACAATCAACGTGGTCCCATCACTGGAAAAGCCGACAAAATCGGTTCTGCCCGGCTGGTTGGGAAACACCGCAACTTCTTGCATCGCACGGCGGTCCCACAGAATGACGACGCCGTCTTCTGAGCAAGAAGCGAAAGTCTGACCGTCGGGCGAAAAGGCAACATCGTGAATCGACTCGTCGTGGCCCAGCAGTCGATGCACCGTTTGGTCGGTGAGGTCGTAAGCGAACATCACTCGCTCGTCTCCACCAAAAATAAGCAAGTCATTCTGCTGAGAAAATCTCAGGGTGTTAATCCTACGCGAAAAGCGCTCGATGTCGGTTTCAATAGCACCCGTATCCAGATTCCAAATTCGCACGTGGTTTGTCTCACCGGCGGCCGCAAGCAGACGACCATCGAAGCTGAAAGCCATACATTGCAGCGGGCCCGACTTGTCGGTGAGTACCCTAACTTCATCGCCTGTGTCAGTTTCCAAGACGCGTATGAGGTGATCTTGCCCGATCAAGGCGAGCAACTTGCCGTCTGGAGAAAAACAAGCTTCCGATGTGGTTCCCGCCGGGCTAGGAAAATCGTGCACGAGTTGCCAGTCATCGGTGTGCCAAATGCCCACTCGATTCGCACCGCTGGGTCCTACTGCCAGTTTACCATCAGAGGAATATGCCAGGTGCAGCGGCAGCACCCCGGGCGTCACCACCGACTGCCCGGACTGGTCCGCAGAGCTGAGGTTCACTTCTTGTACAGAGCCGTCAAACATGCCGACGATCAGTTGCGCAGAACTGGGGTCAATCGCCATCGAAACCAAAGGGCCGTCGAATTCGATCTCACGGCGCCGCTGAAATACTGCTTCCATATCCCAGATCAGCACCCGTCCATCGGTCCCCGCCGTTGCCAGCCGGTTTTGCTCAGGTGCAAAGGTGACGCTCCAAACACGACCGTGGTGCCCCAAGAGTCGTGCCAGTCGTGTGTAGGAAGAACCGTCCCACAGCAATACCACCCCGTCTTTACATGCTGTTGCGATCAAGGAATCGTCAACGGAAAACGATGCCCCTTGAACCCAATTCTGGTGTCCTTGCAATTCGGCCAGCTGTTCTCCTGTTTCGGTATCCCAGACCAGGCCGCGTTCGTCCTGGAGGCCGCAACTCACCAACCGACGTCCATCGTGCGAGAAGGCCACACAACTGACCAGTGCCGATTTTGTCTCGTGACTTCGCAGGGTCTTTAAGACTGCCCCTGTGGCCGTAGCCCACAAGTTGATCGTGCGGTCGCTGCTCGCCGAGGCCAGCATGGCCCCATCTGGTGAATAGCTCAACGATTCGATGTGCCCCTGGTGGCCTGCGAACTCGCCCGCTGGGCTCCAATCTGCCGTTTCCCACGAGTAAATTCGGTTGTCGCTTCCGCCAGCAGCCAATCGCTGCGAGTCAGGTGAAAAAGTAACCGCGAAAAGAGATTGAGCCCCTTCGATTGGAATGCTGACCGGATGCGCCGCACTAGGGTTCTGCTCTAGGTTCTCAAGCGTCCAGACCCTGATCGCATAATTATCGCCCACGGCCGCTAACCACTTGCCATTTGGAGAAATTGCAATTCGATTGATTTCGAAGCCGACATCGGGCAGCGTCGCAACCCGTTCTCCAGATCGCGTGTCCCAAAAAATAATATCTCCGTCGGCCCCTGCCGAAGCGATGCGTTCACCGTCTGGAGAAAAAGCCACCGAGTAGACACTATCTTGATGTCCATTCAGCGGGACAGCCTCGCCGTCGATGCGGCGCTTCAAGTAGTGCCAAAGGAACGTACGTAAGTCCTCCAAGCCCTCACCCGGCTCGTACTTCGCAAGGTGTTGAGTGGCCAGCTGACGATCCCCTTGTTCCAGCGCCTCGAATGCAGACTTCATGTCAGCCGCGTAGAGCAATCTTCGCATGGCGACAGCCTGCTCTTCGGCTTTCTCTCGCGCGGATTCTGCTGCTACACGGGCGGCGGCCTCGTTTTCCTGGGCGTCAACTTTGGCCGCCAATACGCGAACTAGCCTCGCGTTATAGAGTGCGACCGTAACTAATAGTACGAACAAAGAAACCGCGGAAACTCCGAACAGCATGGCAGCGGCTGGGTGACGCCGCGTCCACTTCACACCTCGCTCCCAGGTTCTCAGAGGTCGGGCTTGAGTTGGCTCACCTTTCAAAAACCGGCCCAAGTCGTTGGCCAACGAGTCGGCGGTGTCGTACCGCTGATCGGGTTCGCGTGCCAGGCACTTCAGGCAAATCGCCTCAAGATCGCGCGGGATGTCGGGACGAATCTCACGCGGACTCAACGGATCTTCCGAAAGAACCCGTCGCAATGTTGCCTCGGGATCAGTGCCCGGGTAGCAAGGCTGGCCACAGATTAGCTCATAAAGAATCGCCCCCAGCGCGTAAATGTCGGCCCGGATGTCGACAATTTCAACCTTCCCCGAGGCTTGCTCCGGGGGCATGTAGGCGGCCGTGCCTAGTACAGCGTTTGGCTGCGTCTCATCGCGTCCACCTTCGAGAAGCTTCGCCATTCCAAAGTCAGTTAATCTGACGCGAATGCCAGAATTCCCCGCTGCAGTGGCGTCCCCCTCTTCAACTTCATCCACCATGACGTTGCTGGGTTTGATATCGCGGTGGAGCACGCCTCGGCGGTGAGCATGCCGAACGGCTTCGGCCAGGTCACGCGCAATTTCCGCAGCCGCATTGCAGTCGAGCGGTTCGGTCCGACGCTGGAGCCAACTCGCCAGGGTGCCGCCACTACAATACTCGGCAACAATGAAGTAGATGAGCTCATCTTGCCCTGCATCGAACACGCGGACGATATTGTCGTGTTCCAGCTTCGATGCCGTCTTGCCTTCGCGTATGAAACGACGCCGAAGCGAAGAGGTGAGCAGTGCTTCCGGTCGAGGGATTTTTAGCGCAACCTTGCGGTTCAACTGTTGATCAACGGCCAGGTATACGAAGTTCAAGCCGCCGCGGCCGATCATCCTTTCGATGCGATACTTTCCCACCGCGGTCAAGTTCTGGATCTCTTCATCCAGTTCCTCGTCCGACTCCAGCTCTGCATCGAGTTCCGCGTCCAGCTCTTCGCTCGATGGGGGATCGCTTCTTCGTCGAACACGATCAAGCATCTCGATGCAACGTCGCGCTTCGTCCAGCCGCTCACTCAGTTCCGGGCTTATTTCCCCGGGCACCGAGGTTGCCTGGTCGATGTCGGTCGATTCGGCAGTCGACTCATCAAATTGAGCGAGCAACTCATCAAACTCGTTCGATTCGTCACGAGGTTTTGCCGGGCTCATTTGATTTGGCTCAACTGTCCCGTCAACTTCTCGACCGCCCGCCCCCACAGTTTCCGCACTGCCCCTGGAGTACGATTCATCTCCATGCCAATCGCTCCGAACGACTTGCGTTCCCAATTGCGCAGGATAAGCACCCTGCGATATTCTTCTGGCAAGCGAGCCATTCCGCGGCGAATCAGTTGCTCTTCGTCGCGCGCGATCACGGCAGCACTGGGGGTGGCGTCCTCCTCGATCAGCGCATCGGAACCGTTCGCCTGAAACCCATCCAGCGACTGTTCACGGCCGACATCCCGTTTGGCGGTACCGTAAAAATGATCCCTCGACTTGTACCAGCGACGTTTCAAAATGGTCGTCAGCCAGGCGAAGAGTTCCTCCTCGGTTTCACCTTCGAATCGATCGAAGCAGTCATGTGCCTCAAGGAGGGTGTCTTGAACTAAATCCGAGGCACCGAGTTTCGACTGCAGGCGGCGATCGAGCATCGCCACCGAAACCAGCGATATATACCGCCGGCAGCCGTCTAGGAGTTGCTCTAGCTCGTCCGAAGCTCCAGCCCGAACCCGATCTAGAGAACGTTCTAAGTTCGTGCGGTTCGGTTTATCTTCCGGCGATGTATGCTTTGCCATTTGAAATCCCCATCACTTCGAGGGGTTCGAAATCAAGAAAGCTGCTTTCCGATAAATTGATGGCCATTGGATCAAAACTCTTCCATTACTTCTATCACCCACTGAAACCCTTGACAAGAAAGTAGTTGCGGCACGGAACACGGGCTAAGCCGTGCCAAATCCAAAATTTTTGCGTCCGCTTTTTCTTCGAATCCTCCACTAGCGTAACGGGGACTGTTATTCATCCCCCTTTGGTGTTGCAGAGTTGGTGGCACAGGGAGCCAAAACCTCCAGTTTGCCACCGGTAAGCAGCCCACGCCGAATTTTGGATGATCGCCACGTGGGGTTTAGCCCCGTAGGCTTTCAACCCGGTGAACATGAGTTTGGTTCCGTCACGGGTCGTTGGATTCGCCCGAAAATGCGAGCAAGACGACTCAGGGGCGTCGCCTTGCCGGCAACTGGCAAGCGACGATCAACTGGCGAAACCGAAAGAGCCGCAAGAGGGGCAAAAGACACTTCGCTTCAGGTTGAAACTGGATGGCGCCGCAAGGGTCTCGAACGGAATCATCCCGACCGGTGGGCAAGGATTCGCCCACAACACGGGCCGGTCGGAATTGTTTATAGACCTTTACAGTTTGAGCGTGC